CTATGTAACTGGGTCAAATTTGAAGTTTACTTCGAAAGTGTCAAAATCTCACTTTTCAGCTAGTATTCAGTATTTTGAAGATATCTCCCTAAAACTTGGATCCATCAAAAGTGGATTAAAAGGTGATATTCGAAGTCTACGTTTCACGGGCTATCGAACCATATATATTTAAAGAAAATCCTTTTTTGTGTGTACCGTTCGAATTTCCGGCACCTTAGCAATACTTTATTTAACACATTGTGATAATCTCACTTATCCTTTTTCTACACTCGCTTATTTCCTGTATTTCTGCAAAAATGTATGGACATTGTTTTTCCAAGGAAAAAAATCCTCCCGCTCCTGATTTTTGAAGGTCGATAGTACGAACCCTGTATATAGTACACTTTCGAGTTCATTTTTCTAATCCCATCTGTTGCACAAAATGAAACAGACGGTCGGAATTAGAACACACGAGCTGAACAGACATACAATAAATATTCTGTTTTTTGTAGCTAGTACGAGTGATGTTAGTCGATATAACTTCGATAGCGAAGACATGGATGTAAGTGTTCATATTGAACAATCTGAACAAGATGAATCAAATAATGCAATGGATTTTGGCATCGAACAAGCAATACTTAAACAAGAAAAAGAAGTACTATAAATATCGGAAGATAATTTCAGTATTCTTTACTTTACTTCATTTTAGTCAATAGTGACATCGTCGAATAATTTGTCAATACGGCCAAAAAAATCAGCTGATCTATGTGGCAGAAAAACAAAACGTTCAGTAAGTAAAACAATTATCTTTAGTTTTAGGAGTTTTAGGAGTGTAAACTAGTACTCATTAATATGTTTAGCTTCTTTCGACCAATAATGTACCAAGCGTTGAAGATGACATTGAAATAATTGGAAGTAAGAGAGCACCATTATTTAGTGAGGAGAAAACGGCACACATGATTGCTCTTGGTATACCACCATTGACCAAAACTGAAGAAAAAATATTATGTACTCAATTAACTCAGCATTCTCAAGCTAATCAATGGTCATTTTTGGATGCAGAAATATTTGCTAAGCAATTTGCATGTGATACTGTGAGAGATAATTATAATAATGAAATGCAACATATTCAACAGGAATGGTTTTATGATTTTTTACTCAAATACCCGTTAGTGGTAGGCAAATTTAAATATTGGTTTGAACGAATGAAGCCCATGTATCCAACTAATGGTAATTCAATCGAGATCAAACTATGGCATTTGAGACTAATTGCACAAGCTCCAATTGTGGAACATTGAAATTATCCTTTTTTTTGTCTTATTTTTTTGTCTTCTACAAAGTCAGATAATTTGAATCCTTCCATTAGGACAAAGAGAGTAGTTAATAGTTGTTAACAGAACAGGCTTCAGTATATAATATTTTCACAAAAAGTTAATCAATAATAATTAATATTCATGAATTCTCCGTTTGCAAATGAAATCAATTACTCTAAATGAGAACATTATGTTCTACAAAAACAGGTGAAATGAAAATTTGAACAAAATAATTCCACGCAAAAGTATCGAAGAACTAACTCACACGGAAGGCAGTTTTATGCTTCTAGATTAAACTAATAAACTTTTATGCTTCTTTTCGCATATCAGTTTCTTATAATTTATAAATTTTTTTATTACTAGGTTATTTCAATACGAATACAACACAAATGTTTAATAAATTCTAATTTTTAATATACTTTTATTCGTACAAGTATTACATTTAATAGCTAAGACTATTGATCAAGACGTGTGTAAACGTCGAAACGTTTAGCTAGTATATGTAATATTTGTACGAATAAAAGTATGCTAAAAATTAGAATTTATTAAACAATTATTTATCAATCGTACGTCCTTTAAACTACTTAATTAGAAATTGCAAAAGTTAGAAATATTTCTTGGTTTCGGGTTATTAGGTTACTGTACCATTCTTTTTAATTTGGAGAGCTTCGTAAACAACTAGAATTCTAGTAACACTTGAGTATTAATTGATGTTGTTGAATAGTTCTGAACTGCAGAAAAACATCAAAATACAGGAAAAACAGGATGTTCTCATACAAAACAGGAAAAAAAGGGCAAATATGAAGCCTGAGAAACTGGTTTTCCAGAAAACCGGAGTCATGGGCCCAAATCCTGTTGGGATACTACCGCTGATGTCTATTGATCCATGTACAAAGCACTTGGATCAGAAATGGGCATCTCGGCAGGTTCGCTCGTAAGATGGTCTCAAGGTGTTATAAAATATGCAACTCCAACAGGCGACTTGCAAGACTTTACAGAGCAACAACCATCCATCGAATTTCGATATCCTCTGAGTGCTTGGGGTTTTTCGACATGACGCATCCACTAGGATACTTATTACAAAATACGAGTGCATTTCCTTGCTTTTTGAAACAATCATCCGCTAATATTGTTTAGTTTTTGACATATACAATTTTTAAAATATCAACCAATCTGGGATCCAGTTTTGAACATAACACTTGACCTATACAGTATATACCGGGTACTTTCTAGGAATAGCTGGAGAATGTTATTATGAGTTTACACAAGGAATTTAAACCTTAACTTCCGCATTATCACCGAGTTATAAAAGAACTAATGTGCGAGGATATCAAAAAAGGGTTGAATATCCAGATCTGAGTAACGGTTGGTCTGAGAAAAAAAACTAAGTATCCCAGTGGATGCGGCATGTCGAAAAAGGCCCAACATACAGAGGATATCGAAATTCGATAAATAGTACTTCAGAAACAATACTTGTCGCAAGTTCTCTATTCGATGGAATATTTTTCTACGTGGTAGACGAACAAAATCTAATATTGCTCTACTTTTTTGAAATGTCATATTTGCACTTTTTATTTAATAATTCTTTTATTTCCTTTTTACTTCGTAGTTTATTTATATTGCTTAACTAAACGTTTCGATTAATAAAAATCTTCATCAGTAGTTGACAATAAAAATAAGTGTTATAGACCAACCAACATCTAAAATTAATAACAGCACGTTAAGGTTATATCATAGAAAAAGAATTACTCCTTATTAATTTTGAATAGTCAACTTGTTCTTTGATTCTCAGATTATATCTGGACTTTTCTGTTCTTAACACTGTGTTCTTAATTTTCTTCTTATTCTCTTTCTTACTTTGACTCTCTCCTTCCTTAACTTTCTGGTTTTTATCTTTCTTGCTATAAATAACTCCCGTACCTTTCTTAACCCATTGAGCAATTATTGGTGACCACGACTGTGGTAGCACTAGTTTTTTATTGCATGATCGATTCACCAATGAGTAAACTGACTCTGACCATCTCTTCGTGTAGATATTTCTTTCATGATCAAAGATGAGGCTAGCGTTAAATTGGATACTGATATCTTTGAACATGTTTGACAATTTCAGATATTTTTATTCTTTTCTTTTCTGCACATTTTTGATGTTGCTCTAAACGTATGTCGATGTTTTCAGTTTCTCCTACGTATAATACATTACATTTACAGACAATCTCATAGACATGATTGATTATTGACGAATTATTACGTTCTTCCTGAGCAATCTTTCTCGTTTTATTAAGTAATTCTCCTATACTTGGAGAATGTTTTATATACATTTGGATCTTTAAATGTTTTAAACTCTGTTTTATTTTCTCTGTCATTCCACTTAAATGTGACTACAGTCTTAGTAAATTGTATTCTGTCGTGCGCTCTATTATCTCTTCTCATTTTATTGGCTATATCCCCAATATGGCTCGTAATTGAAGATGGATAATTACTGTTCGAAAAACCGTTAAATTTTTTTCATTTCTCTCATTTCCATTAACTAATACGATTTTGCTTATCATATTTTTAACAATATTTTGCTTAACAGCGCTAGTATGATCGGATTTAAAATCTAATAGCGTTTTAGCTGCTGTTGGTTTTCGATACCAACTAGTACGTATTTTTTCTCTCTCCTTATCCATTGTGAGTAATACATCTAGAAATGGTAATTTACCATCGACCTCAAACTCGAAGGTAAATTGTAAATGTTTGTCTATCTTATTTAGATCTAAGGTCAATTTTTGCATTTGATTTTTTGTCAAATCTGATATTAAAATGATATCACTGACATATTGATTCAACATTTTGTACGCATAATATGTTTTGTGCCAATTTTCTTTTATGAAATTATTCATAACCAGATCTGCGAACAGTGGTGATAAAGAACAGCCCATTGGGACATCCTGTTTTTGTTTATAAATCTTATCTTGGAATCGAAAAACAATATTATTTATACAGAAATGTACTATCTTCAAAATATTCTCTTTCGTTAAACTTGTATTCTTTTTCCAACAGTCATTATTCTCTAAAACATCTTCTAATATTCGTATAGCTCTATCTTTATTGATCGATGTAAACAAATCTACAACATCTAAACTATTAATAGCTAGTGTTGTATTTTTATTCACTTCTATTTCACTTAATTTCTGAATAAAATCATTTATGTTCTTAATAGACCTAATTTTATTGCTTATTTTACTCAACGTTCTTATAATAAACTTTGCTAGTTCTGAACCAGTAGTATTTCTCATAGCAGTTATCAGTCTTACAGGATAACCTTCCTTATATACGTTTATCTGTCCTCTTACAATGGGTAACTTCTTTGTTTTAAAAATATCTTTCCTTGACGATTTGAAATCAAGTTGACAATTGAAATTTGTCAACTACTGATGAAGATTTTTATTAATCGAAACGTTTAGTTAAGCAATATAAATAACTTACGAAGTAAAAAGGAAGAAATAAAAGAATTATTAAATATTATCAACTTCGTACATAGTGAACAGTAAAAAGACGCTATATTTGCACTTTTTTGTACAATATTTTTTTTCCATATAATGCAAGATATATTTAGATCTTAATTCAGTCTTCGAACATATGCCTATTCTCTTTTCAGCACTAATAGCGTTCTCTTTTCGGCCTTTTTCGTTTTATAATTCTAACCATTCTCTAATCCCTCCAAATTTGACTATAAATAGGCAACCGTTCTCTTTTTAGTCCTAATTCCGTTCTCTAAAAAATCCTTGTCCCTCATGGTTATTATACCAGGATATTTAACTGTTCGATTACCTGAAATTCAACGCTAATATTATTTGTTGTAATATAAATCTTATGTTCACTTTCCTTTTTGCATGATAAATAAATTTCTTCTTCGATCATGAATATGAACACGTCAAAAGGTAACATAACACTTATAAAACGAAACACGCAAATGTCTTGTGTTCTTGCTTTATTATGTGATTTAATATACTTAATCATATCGGATGTTTACTCATTTAATCACATGAAATTTAAGAGACATGCTTTCTAAAAAAAGAAAAAAGACAATACAATATTTTTTGCGTTCATTTCCAAGTATCGTCAGACTAAAATCTTCTAAAAGTAATAAACGTACACCGAATTATTGTGTAAACATATCGGTAATATTTATCAAGCAGAAATTTAAGTAATCTAGTTACAAGTATGTATATTGATTTGAATATCTAGAACTATTTTCTTGCTCAAAAATATCGTGATTTTTCTTGAGTAAAATATTTTTCGGTTTTTTTGGTGCAAATAGTTTATTAGATAGAGCATTAAGAAATTAGGAAAACTATACTTAAGTTTTTTGATTGACGCCGTCAATCTCATTACATGTTAAAGATTATGTCTTGACAAAGAATGAGAGGAGTATAATCGATGAACCCTTTTAAGCAAAGTCGAGTTTCAATTGGAAAAACAGTGAAACATGTAAAACAATTGGCAAAAGCGAGAAACGTTCTAGAATTGGACAACTCTCTATATTCTTTAGCCTTCATTCACACAAATATTCGTATGAATGAGGACTTAAAGACTTTTGCTTTTCGTATAAAATCTTCATAAAGCTGTGAGGACATAACAGACGGGATTTTGGTTATCTGCGTGGCACTAACGCGACCGGGCCTTCAAGTGATCCATCGCGTTTACCTTGAAACATACATGATTATAGGTAATATGTTATTCCGAATCTGATATTCATTTGTGCTGATAGGTGTTTCTACCATGGATTTGTAGACATCTGATCTCTGGAGATTCCTCTAAAGATGCGAGATGGAGAGACTCTGATCTATCAAGATTGCACAGTACGTCGAATCACGTACAGAAAAAAATTTTCGACTTAAGAAATACGTTTTCACGAAGATATGAAAATTTTACTAATGATCCTACCAAAATTTGGAACAGATCCCATATTTGGGCTTGTAAAATCCCTAAATCTCAGCGAAAACGTATTTGTTAAGTCGAAATTTTTTTTCTGTAGGTGATTCGACATACTCTACAGTCTGGATAAATCAGAATCTCTCCATCTCACATCTCAAAAGGAGTCTCCATGGATCAGATGTCTACAGATCCATGATAGAAACACTTATCACCACAAATGAATATCAGATTCGGATTAACATATTACCTATAATCGTGTATGTTTCAACGTAAACGTCATGGATCAATTGGAGACGTTCCCTCGTAAGAATTGCTTATCGACAATTATCGTATTAGAAGTCATCACTAGCAACTTTAATTGATCAATTACTCAGAAAATGGATCACGTATTCTTTCTTGTTATCACTGTCATACTACTAGGTCTCAGTGTGTACTTTACACACTTACGCCGTGCATTCTCGACGGCCACTGGGAATCGACTTGGCGTTCACTTTATGTGTGTCATTTACACACTTTATTTATTACAGTATACGACCCTATTTAACCAACTTTACTATGATCAACTGATTAAATTGTTTTTCTCCAATTAATAAATATTAAAAGTACTATCATACCGAAGGAAAGCGGAGTAAATAAATTATATTTTGATTTCAATGGTTTTTGTTTTTCAAGATTTCTAAAGTTTGTTGCTACTGCTTTGAGCATTGGCTATGCTTCATACATTTTAGCTCGAACGATGGTGTCAGTGTTAGTCGACTCCCGTCTGCTTGTTGACCAATGCGATGAATTAAATCGTCTTGTTCTATCAATAAAGCAAAATATCGATGGTGCTCTTGGTCAGTATACAAATGAAATTTCAGAATGGTTAGAATTAAAGAAAGATTTATTAGCGTCAACAAGTATCAAAGATTTGGTTAGCTTAAACGTGGGTGGTAAAATATTTCGGACAAGTATTGAAACATTAAAAAAAGAAAAAGATACGTTTTTTACTGATCTACTTTCACGTGAGTGGCAATTGGAGACAGATAATCATGGTCGTATATGTATTGATCGTAATGGTGAGCTATTTGCTGAACTACTTGATTATTTGCGTACAGGACATGTTATTGTCCCAGATGAACGTCTTTGCCGACGTTTGCTTCATGAAGCACAGTTTTATCATTTCAACACGTTGTCTAAATTACTAAGTCAAATCGTTTGTAAAGCGGAACATTTCTTCGTTGGTTCAACGCTGTTGTCTGATAGTCAAAAAGAGAAACTTAATGAATTCTACGGTATAAATGATCAATATTGGAAACTCATCTATAAGGGATCAAAAGACGGTTTTGATGTATCAGTATTTCATGGTTGCTGTGACAATAAAGGTCCCACAATGACTGTGATCCAGTCAATCGATGGTTATCTTTTCGGTGGATTTACAAGTGTATCATGGGCATCGGCTCTCGGTTCACATAAAAATGATTCAAAAGCGTTTTTGTTTTCACTCACAAGCCCAAAATCTATAGGAGAAACAAAATTTGTTTGTAAAGATCCACTAGGTACAAATGCGATATTTCATTCATTTTCTTGTGGTCCAACATTTGGTACCGGTCATGACTTGATCATTTCAAATAATAGCAATACGAATAGAGATAACTACTGTAATTTTCCTCACACTTATCTTGATCATCTTGGCCATGGTACTACGACATTTACCGGCTTAAAACATTTTCAAACGTTAGAGATCGAAGTTTTTAAGTTAGCGTGAAGAGAGAAAATTGGTGAATTTTTCTCGATTAGCCGTGACATTAGATTGTATATAGAAAGATGCAGAATTGAAAGGGCTACAAAATAAGGTATAATGTATTCTTTCAAATCTTAAGTTAGTTAGACTTATGGGCAACATAGTGAACGGATGCGCTGATTTTAACCTGTTGCAGAAGAGTTAGTGAAGTATAATTCTGTAAACAAAATGAGGCCCAGAATAGTTATGATATAAAAAAATGCAGAATTTAACGAGCTTCAAATTGAAATACATTAGATTTTTTAGAAAGTATACCGTCAAGCAATTATATTCTGAACAGTATGCAGAATATAATTCCACAGTACACTGTTTCATCAAACAGCATTCAATTTGAGAAAGATCACATGTCATCAAAATCAGGGCTGGGCAACTCCAACTCCGGAGTTGAGGATTTTTTTGGTGGAGTTGGAGTTGAGATTTTAGGAGGTTTGAGTTGGGTTTTTGAATTTTTATTCTCAACTTCGTTTTACATTTTTGGAAATATTCAATAGTTATAGACTGATCTTCTAAACGATTGAGTGGCTGTATTCATGAGTGAATTCGGAGGTTCTTTGCGGTTTCCTGCCGGAAAAAGCTCAAAAACCTTCAGAATCCTGCTAAAAACCGAAAAATCTTCCCTACAAAATTGAAACAACCGGAGTTGAACTGGAGTTGAGATTTTTGTTCAGGGAGTTAGACTTGGAGTTGAAAAATTTTGAACGGAGTTGGAATTGTAGTTGGAGTTGGAAATTTGAAAACGGAGTTGAGTTGGAGTGAAGTTGGAGTTGAAAGTCCACGGAGTTGCCCGATCCTGATCAAAATTAACGAAATTAATTAGAAAACAAGAGAAATATGTCTTTTGTTTTTTTACCCATAAGTCTAACAAACTTAAGATTTGAAAGAATACGTTATGCCTCATTCTGTAGCTCTTTCAATTCTGCATCTTTCTATACACAATTTATGCTTAATCTCTATCTGTAGAAGAAACTATAATCATTTTTATGTGCTAATATTCTATTAAGAACATCAAATTGCAGAGAAAAATGAATAAATACGATCGAACAGGCTTTTTGGACCGACGCTCAAAAATGATTAAAAATTTCAGCATATTGTACCCCGCTTCCCTTCCTCCATAATAGAAGACCGTCCCTATTAGAAGACCACTGCCGATTATATGACTTGAAAGCTAAATAGAAGATCATCGTCTCCAAATCAGTTTTTAAGGCGCAGAAATACTAAAAACTAAATAACGAACGGTTCCTGATCAGTTCCAGTCGTTATCTTCTCAAGCCATTTTCTTGCAGAAACTGGCCCCTGTCCTTTGCAAAATTGGATATTTCAAGATTTAAAAATTAGTTTAGAAATTAGACTTGTCTTATGTGAAAAAAATGTTATTTTTCAACTGGTTCTTGAGATAATTTAAGTAAGATTGGTCTATTAGAAAAAATTACTTAGTTTAACTTTTTTCTAACAAAGTCTTTATCGTTCTACAGTAGTGAAGTAACCTCCTAGTTTACGCGATACTCTCTTCGTGTTGTGTTAGAAATTCAAATTTTTCAACATGACTAGTGGAAAGAGCGTTCTTGAAAATCCACAAGTCAGAGATTCAGCTAGCCTCTTCAAAATGTATATCCATCTTTTGTAAACTGCTTTGCTTTACATGTCTGAATAGTGAGCCGTGTCTGAGAAAATTGTCCAAAATGCTTTGCTCTTTAGAATATCTAAAAACATTTCCAAATGTAGAATAACTGTAATATTTCAATTAGTATTGGAAGACTTTTTTTATGTTGTGTTCAACTGTTACAGTTTACGGAATTTAGTTTCATTTCTGTTCATTTATTATCGTGTAATAACGTGAATCTATTGTATTATTATCTGTTTCTATATTTTGTTGTATTAATGTATTTCATTAAAGTATTAAAAGATTAGAGAAAGGATGGTATTGGACATAGAAAAGCTGTACTTCTGTTCAGAAAAGCAGTCTTGAAAATACTTCACCGAGTACAATATTTATTTACAGCAGCCATATAATATTTGAGTGTCTCAGTAACTTCGATAGTCAAACATTCACAGCAATTCAAAAAAGAAACCTTCCAATATCCAGTACTTCGTCAAGATATATGACAGTGAGATTTAATGATTTAAATAGATTAACAGCTATCTCAGACAAATTTACTAAATTCCCGTAAATAAATAGTGTCTAACGAAATACTAATGGAAATATTAAAATTAAGATGATACTAGAATTCTA